GACAAAAATACAGTTAATATATAAATGTGAAATAAATCCCGATTGCACCTTGATTTGTTTGCCGAAAATGTGTAGTATAAATGAACCACGTCAAAAAAAAAAAAGTAATGGAAATAACATTTTGAAACCCCCAAGTTCACAATGTTTTAGCCTTGGTGACGTAGTGGGTTACATGTTGTGCTGCTAACTGTAAGGTTAGAAGTTCAAATCCAAAGATGAGACTTTATGCTCCAGTAAAGATTTACAATATTCGAAACAGGGTCACTATGAGTCCTAACCGATTCCATAGCACACAGCAGCAGCAGTATACAATGTTTGACAATCAGAAATCATTTTCCCAAAGATTTCATAAATGCCTATTGTTGTTGAATGCTCTTGAGTCGGTTCTGACTCATTGCAACCCTGTAAAGATTTCCAAACAGCATCTGGTAGGTTTGAACCTTCAACCTTGCACTTAGCAGTCCTACTTATCCTATAGCACCACACGAGGACACTGAGCCTAAGTACAGAATGAGATTCCACTGTTATTTTTCTATCCAATTAGTTCCAGAGTACTGATACCAGGAGTCTACAGAGTGAAGGGTACAATATTATCTTAAATTTCTCTTGTTTCTCAATTCAAGTGGTGTGTAATAAGTGATTTGGACACTGAGGAATCGATATAATAAAAAATGTCACCAGAAGTTATCCCAATTCCAATATTAAAGAGAAAAATTCTGAAGAGTGTAGGATCCTTATGTTACACTTATTCTACAGGGTGGCTTCAAATAGTTGATTGAAAAATGGAATTAAAAGATGAAATTTTCCATGAACTTTTAAGCCCCCTCATATATTGAGTTGAAAAGGCCATAACCACAACGTATATATAACAAGGACATGAAAAGACGTGCCCAGAGGTATAACACCTAGCCCACACATAGTAACTGTTCCTTCCATACCCTTCTTATAGTAACTTTAGGGACATTTGACATAGCAAAAAATGCTTGGTGAACAGGAACAGAGAAAATGAATATAGGAGATGCAGGACTATGATGGTGAGAGGCCCTAAGATAAGCTCCCTGAGATATCTCCCTCATGCTGGTGGAGGCTCCCAGGATGAGGAAGAAGACAAATATGCTAGCATTCTCATCTTCCTGGCTAACCAGCAGTCCTGATACTTCTATCCTTAGAGAGGTGGATAGGGAAATTACTCATCTATGTAACATGCTGGAGTCCTGTTGTGGTACTGTAGGATAAGCATTGGACTGGTAACTGCCAGATCAGCAGTTGAAACCCACCACTCCTCGGAAACCCTATACAAGGTTGCCATGAGTAAGAAGTGACTCGACAGTACTTAACAACACTCAGTGCAAGGTAAGTCAAAAAGTATTGCTATTAGAGTTTTAGTTCATACATGCACCAATTTATTCCAAACACGATGTATTCTAAACATGTCTTTGTGATCAGCGTAATAGCTACAGACAAGCAGACCGGTTCACTCAGTACTAAACTTGTCTTAGTCTCATTAGAGTAGCTTCAAAAAAAGGTTCAATCCAAATAGTGATTTCCAAGGGCATCTACTGAACCAATTAAATTCCGGGCAAACAGGTCAGCTCAGAAGGATACGGTGACTCTTTTGGGGATTTCCAAGGGGTAATCTTGACAGAGTTTCTCAAAGGACACAGGAGAACAACAAGGATTACTATGAATAAGATTTAAGAAAACGGGAAACTGCCTTGGTGACAAAAAAACCAGGAAAGTTGTACTAAGGAATGTTTTCACCATCATGACAATGCACGAGATCATTTTTTAAGGGGAGCAAGAACTATGCTATGAGCATTTTGTTTGGAAATTCTACCCGATCCACCACATAAGCCCTGATTGTTCCTCAATTCTTTTTGTTCCCCAAACTCAGAGAACACAGAAAAGGAACACAATTTCTGAGTTCCTCAAGGATGCTGTAAATCTGCTATTTTTATGTGGTGTAAATTAAAGAGCACAAAATTCTTCTGGGAGGAGAGGAGAGATAGAAACACTGCCTTCAGAAGCATACAGACCTAGATGGAGGACAATTACAAGAAAAAAATAGCTTCACATTTTGATGTTTTTGTTTAATAATAAAGGTTTCTATGATTTTGTACCAATATTTTTTGACTTACCCTCATAAATCAATCCATATTTTTTATTCTTTTAAAAACGAACACAATAGCTAAGGTATAATAGTGATATATTCTTTTAAAGCTGATACTGATTTTGCAGCATAAAAAAATCAATATTTCAAAGTAATATTATAAAAACAATACATACTTAACCTTTAACCTGCACATTAGAGAATACAAGAGCTGGTTTCTATAGTACTAATAAAAAAAGAATTATTAACATATAAGCTTGGAGTGAATGTGGAAAATATACACTTGTAACAAAAAATTTTTCCTAATTACCTGTATGTTTTCGAAGATGCTCTTTAAAATGTCCAAAGTGGTCAAACTGTTTCTCACAGTACTGACAAATGTGAATTTTTTTCCCAGTTCTTTGCTTCTTACTGACTCCACCTTCTTCAAGGTGGTAACAATTGAGGTGCTGTTTCCATGCGCTCTCCCGAAGATACCTTTTATTGCATATTTCACACTTGAAACTCTCAGTGGAGTGTGATTTCATGTGCTCCTTAAAATGGTAAAACAATTTAAATGAACGGTTACATTTCTCACAATGGAACAAGTCCTTCACATGTGACAGCTGAAGTTCCACAATTTCAATACCTTCTACCTGTTTGCTTGTTGGGTCAGACGCACAGCCATCTTCTTCTTTAATCTGCCCTTTTCTATCACCTTGACGATACTTGCTGGTAATATCTGCCAACAGAACTAAAGCAGAGTCATCTGAGGAACCTGAGCTCTGAATGTATTTTATAGACTCCTTGGCAGAAGTCATTTCCTCCAATATCTCAATGCTTTCATCTTCTACTTCAATTGTGCCTTCAGCAATCTCAACCTCAATTTCCACGGGTTCTGACTCTGCAGATGGCAATGATTCAGTGATAACATTGGATGTTTCCGCAATTTTTCTTTTTTTTGTGTCACTTTTTCCTGTGTTATTTTCCTCAAGTGGAGCTGCATTTTCTTTGTTCCTGAAATATATAATATATGGATTTTTTTAAAACTCTAAAGCTAAAAAAAAAAATCCTACCAAGTCTTTCTAAATAATGTAACAAGCTGAAGATAAAATTTATATGGACAGAAAGAAAGGCTGGAGAACTTATACAACCCGATGTGGCACTGTGGGATAAACACTGATTGCGAACCACAAGGTCAGCCATTCAAACCCTCCAGTCCGTCCTCAGAAACCCTATACAGGGTCACTATGAGTCAGAACTGACTCAATGGCACTTACTAACAACAATGTAAAGCTATAGCAATTATGATGAGATGCTATTGTTGTTAAATGTTGTCAAGTTGGTACCGACTCACAGTGACCCAATTGGTATAGGTTTTCTGAAGAGCGGATGGTACGTTTGAACCACTGACCTTGTGGCTCAAACCGACCTTGAGGTCAAGTACTTACCCTAAGACAAGACACTGGTGAAATATTACACAAGTTGATATTGTGTAATATATCTTATGTAACTCAATTACTTTTTTAAAGGTCAAGTCACACTTATAAAAATGGAAGACTATACCATGCTCATGGGTAGGAATACTTAGAAAATGTCACTTAGAAATTGAGAAAATGTCAACACTACCTAAAGGAATCTATAGATACAAAGCAATTCCAACCCAGATTACAACATCATTATTTAAAAAGAGAGAAAAACTGATCATTAACTTTATATAGAAAAGAAAGAGACCTCGGATAAGCAAAGCACTGCTTGAGAACAACAACAAAGTTATGGGTCTCTCACTCCTTGATCTTAAAATTTACTACAGAGCCCCAGTAGTTAAAAAAGCCTGGTACTGATTCAATAGCAAAAAGATGGAGACAGTCTAAATATCTACCAATGGAAGAATATATCAATGGAACTGAATTAAACGCCACCAGAAGTAAATCCATCCATATACAGTTAAGCTGTTCTTTCACAAAGCATCAAAACACATTAAATGGTGGAGGAGATAGTCTTTTCAAAAAATTTGTTTTGGCTAACTGCAGTCAAGTTGGTTCTGACTCATAGTGACCCTGTATATAAGGTTTCTGAGGAGTAGCTGGTGAATTTGAACTACCAACCCTGTGGTTCACACTGACCTGGCAGTGCTTATCCTACAGCGCCAGACCAGGACTCCTATTTTAACAAATGGCACCGGTAAGATGAAAACTCCATTTGCAAATGCATTTCAACACCATATGCAAAAACAAACTCACTGTAGAATTTAGACATTGGCTACCCAAAATGGGAAGAATACAAAGGCAAGAAGTGACTGGCTTACAAGCTTTCAATAGGGAACCTAGCTCCAGAGGATATGGGGAAAGAGAGAACCTCCACTGAATTGTTTCCAACCTGTCTGGATTGGGTTAATAAAAGGTGAGGGGGAAAGGACTCCTGTGGTTCAATAGGGAATGACTGCTATCAGGTCTGACAGTAAGTATTGGAAATGTTTGGTAACATTAAATGTAAATGTTTGGTAACAAAAGAAGGGGAGTGGCAGGTTTTGCAGTCCAGGAGTGGAGATCCCTGGAACCATCAAGGGAGAAAAGCCAAGTACGAAGACCCTGTCAGAGACCCTGTCCAGAGAGGCAGTGACATAGGGATGGAGGCAGAGAAGATGATGTGGACAGAAGGAAAAGCTGGGGACTCTGGACTCAGGGAGAGAGAGGGGCTGTTTGCTGGCAGGAGTATGGGGTATACTCTTTGATTGTTTGCTGATGCATTCAGGGGATTGTGATGAAACAAAATAAGATAGGATAAATGTAAAGATAATGTTCCTCCATATAAACTAACACATAATTCACAATAAAAACTTAAAAAAAATAAGTGTGTTAAAAAAAAAACAAAAAAAAACTCACTGTGGATAAAAGACCTAAATGTAAAAAATGACAACTAAAGATCATTAATGAAAAACTAGGGAAAAACTTAAGGGCTCTATCTAATACATAGTATAAATACATTGTCAAACACTACTAAAAACACACAAAAAGTAGAAGACAAAGTAGATGACTGGGACCTTGTAAAAATTACACACTTATGTGTATTAAAGGATTTGCCAAAAGAGCAAAAAAGGGAGCCCACAAACAAGAAATAAAAAATTTGCAACATATCAGATAGGGGACTAATCTCTAAAATTTATAGAAAATTACAAAACTTCTACAAGAAAAACACACACAAACCCAATTAAAAAATTGGCAGAGGACTATCAGGCAGCTAACATACATATGAACAACTGTCATGATCATTAGCCATTAGAGAAATGCAAATCAAACAACATGAAATATTGTCTCACACTAGCATTAATAACAAAGTTCAAAAAAGCAGAAAACGGTGGAGCAGGCATGGAGAAACTGGGACTCTCCTATATTACCGGTGGGACTATGAAATGGTTCAACCCAATATATCCACAAGAAATATGAGCCATAATACGAGTAGATTTATGCACACCAATGTTCATAGCAACACTATTTACAATAGCAAAAAGATGGAGACAGCCTAAGTGCCCATCAATGAAGAGTGAATAAACAAACTTGGTATATACATACAATGGAATA